ATATAAAGCAGAGGATAGCGCAGGGTAGAGTCACCTTCAATAAAAAGAAGTCACTTCTATAATAATTTAAAAATTCGAAAAAAATTATTAAAAGTGTATGTTTGAACCACGGCGCTGTACGGGTGCGAAACATGGACGGTGGGCGTGGCAGAAAAGAAAAGGTTAGAAGCGTTGGAAATGTAGTGTTAATGGCGAATGATGAGGATACCATGGATAGAGAAGGTTAGAAATGAAGAGGTATTAGAAAGAATAGGAGAGATAGGTTGGTAGGACACCTAATAGAGACATAATAGAGGCAGAAACGGGAGCTAAGAGGAGTAGAAGTAGACCTAGATTAGATTACTGCCCGCAAATAGTTAAGGATGTACCATGTTCTAGTTTTAGGGAAATATGCTATGCTTTCGTTGGAGAATTAGCGAATTCACGAATACAGTTACTTAACCAAAAAGAAATCATTTGGCGTTAAAAGACTTTTTTCTTTAGTTTAATTTAGTTTCATCTCCAATTTGTATATTAGCCCTAATCCTATAGATACTTTTAAATCGCTTTCATTTAATTAGCCTCCTATTTTCGTGTTGATCGAGTTTTTTATGCTAAATTTTACAATAAACCTTTTTTCTTATGATTTTTCCGAATAAACCTGAGGATAATAGAAAATAATACTTCGTCAATAAACTCAATTCACTCGTAGTCGTTTCTTTCTAAGGAATTTGAAACGTGAAACTGCCTTATTTCAAGCCAATGTAAATATTCGAGATGAGAAGAAAAAAAATTACAAAAAGCTTGCGAATTGTCTAACTAACTAACTAACCAACCAACAATGAGATCCGACTTGAATAAAAATTTGAATGAGATCCTTAGAAAGGATTACTTTTAAGCCCTTAAGCAGTATATCCATTTTCGAAGCGGAACGGTGTTTGTTTAGAGAATTAAATAAAAAGAATTTAATACTCTACTCTCAATCATTTCTTTCGTAAAGTTTAAAATTCATAGTAGTTGTATGACCGTTCCAAAACCTATTTTGCGAATTTGGATATCAGTGAAAAAAGAAATTAAAATTTCACAGAAACAGACAAAACAATTTGTTTGTACACGTTGTTTCGTTTGTTGGTGCCAGAACCAGAAATGAAAGTGTTTTGTGTTTTTTTTTAAACAGTATAAAATGGTAAACATGTAATTTCTTTTAAAAAAGATTTATATGGTCAAAAATACCTTTTACAAACTTCACAAGTTACACAGACCGAAAAGAACAAATGAATCAGGAAAAATGACCACTCTATTGTAGGTAAGTCTAGGCATTTAAATATCTCGGAGCATATCACCAGGGTGTCCCAGTTATAATAATTAAAAAAACAACCATGGCTTCCTGACACAAAATACAACAAAAAAGTGTTATACAATTTTTCAATCCAGTGACAATTGAGCTCGCAAATCGTCTTTGTAAATTTGAACGTACAATTTGTTTCATTACGGGCCTGGATCTAGGCGACCAACGTCGCTCAGCTGATCTAGTGTGGATGTAACAAGTACCTACCGGGAAGAAGCCGAATGCACTTCCACCTTGTAAAAAAAAGGTAAAAGTGAAAAAGAAATGCGTACCTTTTTTAAAAAATGTTTAAATTGTCCGCCATTCGCTTCAATGCAACACTGACAGCGACGTACCCAGTTGCTGCGAATTTTGGCCCAGATACCGGGAATATTTCGAATTATACGATAGGCATTGGTAATGTAACTCACCACCAACTGACGGTTGAATAAGAACCCTACTAGAATGCACTATCACACTACTAATTGTCCTTATTGTAATAGTCTTTTATGAAATGACCACTAAATAAATAAACTAACACTAACAAACAAGTAAATTCCACAACAATCCAAAGCAAACTGAACAACCTGTTAGAAACTACGACATTATGTGTATTTATTCCAGTCACTTCCAGCAGTGTAATTATACGAGGTTATATCAATATTTAGCTTTTTACATTTAATGAAAACAAAATAACCAACTTGGTCCTTCTGGACACATCCTTGTATTACCCCACGTGGGGTTAATGAGCCCTGCCAGGCAAAACTAACGTTTAACACATGTGAATGGTCAAAGTAGGTCTGCATCTTGTCTCAACTTTTACAACCATAACACATACATTTGTTTTCGTACACTAGTACGTTATGTTACAAACCTTTACCAAACGCTGGGTGGTGAGGGTTGTTTGTGCACCGCTTCTAACTATTCCGTAGTCGTTAAAATTTCTTTTCTATTTAAAATAACATAATACTCGACGTCATGGGCTACATTAGGTCCACTTCAGTTTACGATCATGGGATTTTCGATTGTGATAGATACGTAGTTTTTCTAACATGTTCAGTCATCTAATGGACCTTAACGCGAGTGCATTTTCTTCGGCTGATCCGTAACTTAATACCAAACATAAACAATAACATCACCCCAAAAAGCAGCTGATTCCGACCTACTGAAGGTGAATTTTTCTACGATCAGCTGGCAATCGTAATTAATTTGCGATTGTGCAGGGCCGGCATCAAAACTGTTATAATTTTATAATTTTTTATTTTGTTTCAAAAGTCAAAAGTGTTATAACATTTTATGTTCCAAATGTCCGTAGGAATCTGTGGTATAAATATTAATTATTATGACTGGGACACCCTATATATGTGAGTAGGTATGCTAGGCAACAGTGATTTCCTGGGGTAACAAACAGATATATTTGGGATGCTGTAATTATCATTTATGTAAATTTAACCGAAATGTAAGTCTGCCTTTAACCCGGAGATTGTCAAATTAACCTTTAATGGCCCGTTTATTCGATACGAGTGGATTACATAAGGGGGAAAATAAATGACCACGAGTGCGTAAAGCTCATGAGTTCGTATAACAACGGATGATAACGGCACAACAGAATTCTCAGAAATTTAACTGAACTTATACGAAATAATAATAGCTAGACTGTAAAGTTCTCGTCAAATTATCCTCTCCATTTGTATACGTACTTGTACTTCCGCAGTGTACTTCAAATAATAATCAGTGTAATACCTCCGAAACCCTTCATCAGTGTTCATTTCATGTTTCGTATTTCACCCCGCACCGGGATTAAAACGGTAAAAGGTCATTAAACGGCGCATACGAGAAGAACAATAGCACTCGTTAATAGGTCTATGAAAAACGCAGATTTCTATTCAAAGATGGAGAGGTCACGAATCCTTGAACATCATTAGTTGAAAACAATAGCGAATTTAAGAATTTATTACGAAAACATCATAGTGGTAAGTGTTTTATCGAAACCGTCAGTATTGAATCGCATTTTTGATCTCATTGAACCTCGTCAGCACGCCACAGACAACTTAATTAACTAAGGTGGATGCGCTGGGCCATCAGTTTAGTATTATGTCAAAATAAAATTCGAAGGACTTTGTATAGTTTCTAAAAGGAGTTCACTATTAAGTCGTTATTTTCAAAATTCAATACCTTCAGATATAATACAAAAACTAAAGTAATCCAAGTTGGCATTTTTAAATGCTATTGTTTTCATCCTTTTGCCTTTTTTTATAATCAGAGGCAAATTTCCTAATTCGACTTTTCTCACTCAACACTTTTCACAGTAATAAGAATCTGTAACGCGTAGGGCTTTGAGAGGGGACATTTCCCCCATTAACTTCCCCCAAACTCTTGGATTTGCTGCTGGAATATGCCTGGAAGCAACAAATTATCAACATATATTTTTCCAAATGTATATAGTGATTATATTCTAGTAACAACTGTCATTTATTTCAAAAGAAAAATTGGTAACAATCGTTTACGGTTTGTAAATTATAAAAATATGATATAGCAGATGTGATATTATACAAGGGTGTTAAAAATACTGTGGATAGAATAGGTTAGCAATTAGGATGTATTAATAAGCGTAGGAGAATACAAGATGTTAAGAAATAGACGACATAGGTTGGAAGGACACCTTTTCAGACATGAAGGGCTAGTTAGAGACATACTAAAAGCAGAAACAGGAGTTAAGAGGTGCGGAGGCAGACCTATATTAGATTACTATTAGTAATTAGATAGAGCTTTTTCGGGAAATGCTAAGATGGACTGAAAATAGGAAAAACTAGAGAAATAATTCAAAGTGTAAAAGTTCATTTACTTTTATGATGTAACTAAATTTTCTCATGCATCAGGAATTGCCTTTTTTTTAAGCTAACGATAAGAGCATGAATTATTTCGTCAAAATATTGTAAACACCGTTGCTCTAAGTAATTATCAGTGAAGTTTAATTAAAAAAGTTTTTCGCAGTTCTTTTAAGACCTTACAATAGACGTAATTCACCCTTAATTGGAAATAACGCGGAAAGTTAAATAATTATCCCCTTGTTATTCAGCTCCAGTGCTTTCACGTTGCTAGGTCGAAAGCGAAAACCTTCTATTCTATTTTAGATAATGACTAGGTGATGTGAAGGCAATAAATTGTACCACCAGATCATATATTTGAGTGTACGATAAAAATATTTGCACTCATTGAAAAATGGATTTAGCATTTCAACAACATAAGGTCGCTAGTTCTAAGACAGGTTGGACACGCACCTCCACAGTCTCAGCTTTCCCTACCTGCCTCATTGTCCTAACATTCCACGATCGGACTCGTGAAATATTGCACCTACCCCTATTGCACTTATTGATGACATCCCCGAGTTAGTCCCCGCTCGGACATCCGAATGGGGGGCTAGTTTTCGTCTGGAGTGCTTTACCCCAGAGGACGCCATCATTTTAGTTTGGTGTGTTTTAATTGGCATATCATAATGTGGTGGTTTTCCGTTGCCTTCCACATCGCAGTATTATACATCAGAGTGCCTTACCGATCCTCGTGATCTCTGCCACCCTGACTACTGAAAGAGCTGCAGCCCTCTTTCAGGGACTTGTGTTAGTCTGGTTTCTCTTTAAGAACCCCCCCATTATGGTTGAACCTGTAGTCCGGCTCCCTAAATTATCGAAACTCGCCAGCTGATCCACCCACTCTAGTTTGTACTAGAGTTTCGTCAAGATTCAAGTCCCGTCCGATCTTTAATCTAACTATTATGCCGATATACTATGATATGATTTAGTCCTAATATTTTCTTGATGAATTTGTAATTGTACATGATAAATCCTACGAACATCCCTTATGTCAGCTTATCTAACACGTATAATGTGTGTTGGATGAAGTCAATTATTTTCGAATAATCACTTTCATCAATTTTTTCTCCTATGTGAATAATTTAAACACCTTGAAACTTTAAAAGTGTATTATACAAGAAAGAACCATGAATATTTACAATTATAACTAGTTGCTTTCAGGGAGATTGTTGCACTGAATTCTTAATATTAAAAGGATAATAATTACACCTCTGATTTCCCTACCAACTACAATTCTAACAATGGAAATACAACCGGTAACAAATACCTAAGTTATTGATATAAAGAACTATATACATATGTAAATTTAACTACCGATGGTACATTTAATTATCGGTACTTCCAAATGTACTTTTAATGGGGTGGGTTCTATTGTCCTTTTGTGTACGAACATTCCACAACCAGGTAAATATACAATCACTGACACCATGATAAGCACTGAACATCGTGTTTCTTTCAAAGTACTTCCATACAGGAACTTATAAACCTTATTAGGAATAAATTGAATAACTTACCAAGTCATCAAAAATAGCCTTTCAAAAGTCCATTCCTTCTTGTAATCTGTTTTAGGATGAACGATCTTTTCAAGCAATCCCTTACTTCCTTCTATTCTTGTTTAACTAAGAACGTGAAATCAAATACTAAATATTATATATAGGTAACAGCTAGATTTCGAAATTGTTGCAAAGTTGCCTTTTTTCGTTTTCTTTTCTTCTTACGTTGTGGATAAGGATCTTTTGATGTCTTTGTTGGCGATTTGGACAGAGAAAGAAGAGGAATTGCTATTCCCATAGCGTCCAACGGAATTGTAATTTTACCAGTATTTACGTAGGACCCAGGGTGGGTTACAACTTGGCGGTGATTTCTCGTCTGTTTTTGCACTGATGGAAAGTGATATTCGCTCGGCTGAGACGTCACTTTCCCAAAGGACTAAAGCAAATTGAAGACCAACTCGACCGCTCAGTTGCTTATACGTACGAAAATGTAAATAACTTCCACATAAAAACCTTCACGAAAATTAACGCAAAACTTTTTGTGACTTCTTGCAAAGTTAATTTACACTTTATTGAAGTACACTATGAATTTGAAAATATCTAAAAAAATAAACAATTCATATGAAAAACAATTTTGTATTGTATTATATTTACAACAAATGGTGCAGAAATCATTATGAAAAACAAATAAAACTAAAGTCTTTCGATCATAATGATTTTCTCCACCTAGAGAAGTCATTGGGCAGTAAAATGATAGTATCAAATCAGTAACCAATAATCATTTTAATCATCGTTTTAAAATGATATTAAATGCTTTACAATATGGCTAACTTTTCTAAAACATTTAATTTTTTTGATAAATCGATGATCGATTTTGCAATTTGGCATTAAAAAATGTATTTCTTTTTAAGGTCGCCATCATCTACAATCCTAAGTGCACCTTTGATAAAAACCGCATTAAACTTCTATTAATACTTTTCAACCACTGTCTTAAGATGTTTTTATGAAAAATGTCCTCATGTTCTATATTTTCATTCTCCTCTTTCCACTCCACATAAAGAGAAAACATTGAACCTAAGTCACAGACGCTTATCTGGCAATGTGACTTTAGTAAAGCAAGTTATTTAATTCCCAGGTTCCAGATTTTTCTTTTTTCTTGTTAGTTTAACACTGTTCTTAGTTGGCAGGTCGAGAAAGTTGGAGAACTTCCAAGTTTCCGTCTGTTGTATAAAGTGTAAGCACTTGGAAGGATGTTAACGAAAACTTTAGTGCAAGTTTATGCCTTTCCTCCTTTCTAGTATCAGAAAATTTTGACTGCAAAAGATTGATCAGATTTACCGTGTTCTCGGAGAAATTGTGGCTAGCTTCTCGAAAATAAGAAATTCTGTAGTTATTTTCTAAGTTTTTATAATAATAATAAGAGTTGTTCTGAATTAATTTCAATTCAATTGTCCAAGACTGGGACCTTGGTACTAGTTTTGGTCTTTCTGGTTCGGTCTTTGTCTTGGCCATGCTCAAATACTTCTAGTCTTAGTTTTGGTCTTGATATAACAATATTAATTTGAAATAATTTTTTCGATTTTTTATTGACCCACTACAAACTACCTCAAATTAATGAGGGAAAAATTGTTGCTGTTGCCACACCCCCGTCGGGAATCGAACCCGGCATCTTTGGCTTTACACACCAACGTTCTGAGCACTAAACTACGAGAAGTGACAACAGCAACCACGACCAATCGACCTACAAGGTTAATGATCCGTCGATTTTTATTATATATTCGAGAAATTTCGAACAATTAGCTTAACTTCCCATGCGTCAAAAATCTTAACTAAAATTGTACAGAGGAGAAGAAATAGAGGAACGCGGGAGGCCATTCTAGCATTAAGGGTAGCAATAGAGAAAACGATAGAAAAAGGAAAGACTGCGTACATAGGATTTGTAGATTTAGAGAAAGCCTTTGACAATGTTAAATGGGACAAGTTGTTAAATATACTTAAAAATGTAGGGATGAATTACAAAGATAGAAGAGTGATACTTAGTTCGTATAGAGAGCAACAGGCAGTTATAGAGCTGGGGATGCAACGTAGAGAAGTAAATATTAGGAAGGGAGTCAGGCAGGGATGCACACTGTCACCGCTACTTTTTAATCTATACATCGAAGACGCCATCAACATCATTAAAGACAGTACAGCTGTAGGGATAGACGTGCAAGGGCAAAAGATTAGTATGCTTAGATTTGCAGATGATATAGCAGTATTAGCATCTAGCAAGGAGGACCTAGAGATAGCTTTAAATAAAATGGAAGCGGTACTGACAAATCAGTACGAAAAAATGATTTCGAATTAATATTGCATATTAATCCAGTATTACGTAACTAACAATGTCATAGGATTTCATATATTTAATATTGATATAACAAGTTAATGTGATATTTTATTCATATTTTTAACGATTTTTGTTTGTTATAGCATACTTTTCGCCGATATTTGTGGATTTACAACACTATCGGACCAATGCACAGCTGAAGAATTGGTTAGACTTCTCAACGAATTATTTGCAAGGTAACTTAACTTTAATTTAATACGTTCTTGAAGTGTTTTTCATTTCATTATTTAATCAAGATAAGAGTAAATTCAGGAAAATTTGATTTTTCTCGAGCAAGCCATTACAATGGCTTTATTGCGAAGGAATTGAAATGAAATGGATACTGTGTTAGAAACGTATATTTAATAGAAGTAGCTAAGTTGTTTTTTATTTATACATGTCACGTATTCCAATTTTGTGGGTTTGTTGACACATTCCAGCCGATTCCTTTTTATTCGCTGTTTTTCAAAAAAAAAAAAAAGAAAAGAGATCCTTCCTCAATGTCTTGTCCTTTTGAAACGTTCTGCTTCTTGAAACTTCTCACGTTTTCAAATTATAAAATGTGCTGAGAACTTTACTGCCTTACCTCAATGGTGTATATATTGAACAAACAAATAACATAACTTAATACAAATCTTTACCCTAATTAATTTCAAAGAAAATTGTTGTTTAAGAAGACATGTAAACAGATAAATAATAAAATTTAACATCGATATTAAGTGTTACCTAATACGTGTGATACAAACGGAAGTTGTAACAATGCCTGTATTGTTAAATATTCCATAAAAGGTTTTAATAAAAATGTACAGTCCTGTTTTACCATGAATATCAATCACTTTATTCATTTTAAAAGGACGAACTGAAAGGCTTTTTCTATCTTCTTATTTCTATACCGAAGATTTTCTCGTATTACACTAAAATGTCTTTATACTAATCCGTTCAAAGTTACCCCTTTCTCGTGCGCTTGTATTTATCAACCCCATTAGAGAGTGTATTCAGTTTCGTCAAAATCGCAGTGTTCATCTATAGCATTATAGATACTCACATAAAAGCTCTTTGTAGTACAAGTCTCATCTCAATTTAAATCGTCGATCTAATGCTTATGAGCAATAACAATGCAAATGTTATTATTAAACGGAGATTTGTGATGATTGTTATTTGTTATTTAAAAATTACCAAGGAATTGTATTTCAACTATTCAAGAAATAACAAAATTAGTGTTATTAGCAATATTCAGAAGCATAAGGTGTATTTAAAGGTAAAATTAAACGGAACTAAATCTGGGTGAAATTAAAAACAAACTATGTGAAAACAACCCGAAAAGAATTAATTTTATAAATGAACACTTCCACTATAAAGTAAAAAAGTGCTTTTATATTGTCTTCTGTATAAGACGAGAAAAACACTTTTGCTTAAAATAACTTTGCGAGTAAAATTAAATTACCATTTACAATAAAATAAATTGCAGGGATGTTTTGGCAAGGTTTTGTTACACTTCTTTTAACGACAAATTGTGGTAGGTTAAAATTAAACATAGTATAATAAAAAGCGCTATGATGGTTTAACGAAGAGCTAAAGTAAAGCATAGAAAGTTGTATCGCAACGATCAGACGTATATTTTGTAAGTTAAAAGTTAATTCTTTTTAATACCAATTGGTGCGAAACGTCCAGCGCACACATAATCCTTCCTATACAATTTGATGAACGTTGAAATAAGGCTTCCTCCAACTCTCTGCTCAATACCAGATCAATAGGAAACGATACGAAGAATTCTGTGTCTTAGACGATTGGATACGGAATCTCTGGGGTAGTTTCAATTCACCTGCTTCTAACCCACATGAAAAACTCCGATTGAAATCAAGTTTTTGAGTGAAGATTTCCATTTACTTTTGACAATTCTTACTTTTCAACATTCTGATCGAGGATGGCATTGTATAAAAAATCATGTTGGGATCCAAATAAATAATCGTCCTATACCTACCCCTCAAACAGCAGTCCTAACGTTGGTGAATTATTAACAAAATTGTTTTTTTTTTTACCTGAATTCGTTCGGAATTGTATTATTTTCAACACTTAAATATAACGAAGAAAATGGAAATTAATTAATTACAACATTGGAATTCTTATACTTTGAGGAATACCTCAACCACCGGGAAAAACATCAGTTAATAGTTAATAAAACTGCTTGGAATTGTTCATTTTATAACTAAATCTAAATAATATTAGGGAGATGATGGAAATGTGTGACAGTATTATATGATACCTAGGTAGATACTGCCTTAGGTATTCAACAAACAGAATTGTTCTAGTGCTGAATGTTGTTTATTTGTTTTAAATTTCATTAAACTACACCTGTCTGTAGTTTAACTGCTGACATATAACCTACATTGTTGGAGCTGAAGACGAAGTAAATTTAATTTGCTAATGCTTGTCGTTAGTGCAGGGCATATTAATGGGAGAATATCTTTGAACCTTTCACACATATCTTTTGCTTTAATAAATCAATTCATCGTCGCTCTTAGCTATTATTAAATAACTGTGTGGCAGGTTTTCAATAAGAAACCCCTCTGTGTCGCATTTTCCTTTCAAAAGAAACTAAATTTCATTCAACTTGTCTGTTTCACGTTGTTTTACATTTATATTTAAGTAAATAAAACCATTTTGCGCTAGACGTTACCAATGGTACAATTCCCACAAAAAGTTCATAATTGAGATTCATTGTCGACCTTCGTTTTAATTTTTGTTGGTTTAGCTCCCGTTTGGAATAAAATTAAAAGTTGTATAACATAAATTAATACAACTTTGCGTGGCTAAAAGCAAATAAAAGTAAAACTGCCATGCTGTTGAACTTGCAAAATTAGGGTTGTTTAGGATTTATGGTGAGTATTAGGTGGGCATTACATAGAGTACCTATTGTGCCATCCTGTTGGCTCATTTTGTTTGTATTCAGACGGCTATTTACTTGTCTAGACATACTTATTAACTATGTATTTTGAAGCGATGTAGATATATTACATCCCTTACCGTACAGTGCTCTGAAAAGGGGTATTAAATCAACTAAAAACTAGGCACAAGTTGGCACAAAGTAGAAAATTTTACATCATGTTTTATTTAACTATTCTATTAAATATCAACCAAAATTTATTTTATATTCTTTATAAATATTTTTTTATTTCACAATTTGTTGTATTTTCCATTTTTATTCAAATAATTGCCTGTATACAGTTGTTTTAGAAAATACTACAAATGGCGCAGTAAACGCCATCTGTAGCACGATGCTACATTTTAGGTCTGTGTTCTGTCGAAGCTGCCTGCGACGCGCTGATGAGATCCAAAAAGACCGAAATCGCGATCCGCGGCTGGCAGTTTCGACAGAATACAGACCGCTTCGAATTATTTTATTTGTATACAGTTGCTTTATATTTTCTCAGTTCTCTTGCTGTTTCCACCCCTAAATTCTGCTAATTCGGTTACAGTGCTTTCTACTAACGCATCTACAAGGGTTTCATTCTACTTTGTGCTTCCCAAATTAGATATTACTGTAATTTCCTACAAATGTATACCCTTAAGCTATTTCAACACATTATTAATATAAGTATTGAGGAGTACGCAGTTGTTTCTAGTTAATAAATTATTCGATTTGGAACAATGCAATGCAAAATGATTTAACGTTTGAGCTTTTATAAAATGAGGAGTTTGTTTTTGTTTCCTTTGTTCTACATCTAATTTGTGCCCCGAAACAGGGTATCAAAACTGGTGTCGAAATGTATGACTCAAGCTTAAATAAAACATTCTCAACAAAGCCATTTTGATTAAAGAGAAAATTTTTAAACTAACTAAAAAGAACGTGTTGTGCTAGGATTAATAATGATNGCTAAATCTGAGCTATAGGGTGGGGAAGCGGCAACGTGGGACTTTTTTGTCCAAAATCCAGCATTTTTTCGTAAGAGCTTTCAACCCCTTCAGGATATCAACGTAGAAAAGGCCATTGTTTGATTGCAAAGAATGTAGGTACTCGCAGTAAACAATGCCCTGAATATTTAAAATTTGAGGTTAGACGTTCATGCTATCATAGCCTTTTTTTCCCCACTGCTGTCTACTGCTGATGTAGAAGCTCTAGATAAACACTCGTTCCCATGCCCATTTTCCCGTTTGTGAAAGATTTCAGACGGGTTTCAGCCCGATTTTATCAAAAATTTTATCACGACACGTTGCTTGTGATTTGAGTCATTTATTTTTACGATGCCTCTAAACATCTTCCTTACGAAAAACATGAATAAGACGGGAACGGAACGAGGTACCGACTTCAAACTTCTAGATTTCGCATAGAAGAAAACTTGACGGTTTCTATTTAAAATTTTCTATTAAAATTTAATATGAAGATTGGAAAAAACTTTGGCGGTTGTTGTAGAACAAACAGAATAGCTCAAAACCCCAACGCCAAAACAAGACACTGTAGTACTACAGTTCTAAAATTTAATGTTAACACTTTTATCCTCATTCGAGTTACACGTTCTTCTACAGGCAGTGTATGCCTAAGATTTCAATATACATATATCGTGAAAGAACGTATTTTTCTCTTTAGCATATATGTTTGACAGACTGTAAAATGTAAGCACATTGTTTGCCTTTCATTTCAGGTTCGATCGTCTGGCAGCTGAACATCACTGCCTCAGGATTAAGCTCCTAGGGGACTGCTATTACTGCGTCTCCGGGCTGCCCGAACCTAGACCCGATCACGCTCACTGTACCGTCGAAATGGGACTAGACATGATAGATGCGATAGCGTGAGTGTTTTTCATCAGATTTTGTCTATTTCTTTTGCCAAAACCGATGACTTCAATAGATACCTGTGCCACGGACGTGGAAAACGGATTTATAAAGGGCACACGCCATTTATTTACATCCCTTCACTTCAATTTTTTGTTTCACTTTCGCACAAGTAAATAACTCGACGAGAGTGCTGATGGAAGATCAAAGTTTTAGGGTCATTATATTATATGAAAGCAAAGAATTTAAAATAAAATAGAAGAAAGAAAAAAGGGTATTACCAACGGCTAGGAGAAATAACAAAAGTAATTTAAAATATTTGTTATGCTTCAAAAGTATCTATAGTATTTCTTCGATTTATTCAGTCTTTTTCAATAGTACCTACGCTTGTACTAAACCATTTGAAATACCATAAAACATTTTTGCTTTAATTAATACTTTAGGAATACCTTAATGAAGTGCTAATTTACATATCATTTTCACAATTTTAGTATGATCTAAAACGTGACTTTGTATGAAAAGTTTAAAGAGAACTGTTTACAGCATTCTGATGAAACTCAGAGAGATCGAAATCGCCATCGATACCTGTAGATCATTTGTTCTTTTAGGAAAAATGATAGTCTTTTTTTAGCTACTAATAAACAATCAGCGAGTAAATTTCTGTTACAGTTTGCGCTTTATTAAATTATGAATATGGATTTTGTTTTTATTGCAGCTTAGTTCGAGAAGTTATGGCAGTGAATATAAATATGAGGGTTGGAATTCATACGGGCAGGGTTCACTGTGGGGTTCTCGGGCTCAGGAAGTGGCAGTTCGACGTCTGGTCCAATGACGTAACTCTTGCCAACCACATGGAAAGTGGAGGGATCCCAGGGTAAGTTAAATTGTTTGTTCTCAAATATTTGTTAAAGTGAAACTTCCACTGTAAAGTGAAAGTGAAATATTTTATTGTATATGCCTAAATGAAGTTGGATTTATAACGTTCTCTTGTGTAAACACTAGGGGTGGATCGTATGGGAGTAATATATATAAAAGGGTATCTACACTGGGGTCGTGGTAATATCTGTTAAAATTGACTGTTTATTAATAGTTTAAGGTAATAATCTTCTGAGAAGAAAGGAAAAGATTGTAGTAGAAATAGTCACTCTAAAAGTTTTGCGTGAAAGAAAGTCCCATGGCGCAAATAAGGGAAGCGGTCCTAAAATCATTAACTTTTAGTGTGAATACGTGCTGTTGTCCTAAAAATACCGTCAACGCTTGTATTTCTGCTTTCTGCGAACGACTTCAGCATCTTTGATAGTGTTGTGAATGCTTGTGCCTTATACATTAGTTTCTGACCCTATATGAATAAATTAGCCGTTGGTATGTAAGCTCATTAGTGAACAGTGGGTCTACAAAGCATTGATAAGTACAAAGTAGTCGTACCAGCAGAAATTAACTTTTGCCCTTTTGTATATGTATGCATATAAAGTGCCATTAGACAGAATAACTAGTCGAGGGTTCTCAAAGTCAGCCACCTGCGGCTCGGGCAATTTATGTGTGTTCACCCCAGTTTTCTCGTTTCTGACAAACATAAATACAAATTTCAAAATCGTTAAAATGCAAACTCTATTCGTTTAAGCATTAAAGTATCCATATCAGTGTGGAATAGCCCTTTGGATGTATTCCAATCTGATAGTACATACAATCATACATGTCAGCTATTTTTCCAATTTCGGAGCTTTTATCTAAGTTCATACACACGGAAAAAGTTAATTTACTACTCAGTTGTAACGAACTCAATCGAAAAACAGAGCTGGTTAGTTTTTCTTTAGATATTTTGCCTTATCAGTTTCAACAAAGTATGTAGGTTTTTTTTTCGTTATTTTGTGATTGAAATCATCAAATGTAAAACCTAAAATCACGAAAATCAAAAGCTCAGCGAATGTTTGCTACTTTTCAATTATCAGGTACATGAAAAGCGCTGCCGGTATCGATCGCTTGCGGCATTCGTTCTCGATATTATAACAAACGTATCGCTTTTAATGACATCCGCCTAGTATGGCTTGGTTATAATCCCCTTTCTAAATGTTTACAGGCAAACTTCACAGTAGTTTAAATGTACGAAAGCCTATTATAAGCTTAACTACTCATGTTTGACAAGTACCTGGTTATTTCTTCTCATTCGCATTCGTTTTATTCATTGTTGAATGATAAAACGTCAGATATAACATACATATAAAGTGGGGATCATTCAACGTCGTGTCTACCTAAGATCTTTTGTGTCCCGTTCTTCATGTGACTGGAACGTCTTCGATGTGTTCTTCCACGTGATATGAATTTAATGATGCAAACAGATGACACGCAGGCAAACGGTTTACAGTCCCTTTTGGAGCATTGTCAGGCAATCTTTTTCGTTTATTTGTATCTTTTATTGTAAAGTAGGTGCAAACCCATGACGTCAAATTTATCGAATTGAAAAGGATATTTCTGAAAAAATAAAAAAATATAAAAATGTATTGAAATCACTAACTTGAACTCCAAAGCATGGGATCACACCCCAAGTTTAAAATATGTTATTTGTATTTGTACTGACATCTATTGTTATAAAGTAATATCAGGAAGTACCGAACTGACTTCCCTAATGGGGAAACCCCTGTTACAATTTTAATGTAGTTAATAAAACAATTTCTCCCTTAACGTTACTTCTCTACATACTGTTAATAGAAGTGATGATATTCGCCAGTAGATGGTATAAGTGACTTGTTGATTGCCTGCAATTTTAGGATGTGCTTATTTGTGATGTTCGGTTATTTGTAAGTTTTAACTGCGGCAATTAAGGAAGTACTTTTACGAGCCAGCACTTACTCAAGAATACTATCAAAAGTAATCAATCACATTTATTAAGGATATAGGAGTAGCCGTGCGATAATAAAACGGCTACACCTTAATTTTCTTAATTGTTGAGACCCTTTACAGAAGAGCGATGGTATCGATAGTCAATCTAATTTAATAGCCTCATAACGTAATAAAGTTCCATGAAACGACTTGTGGTTTGATACTAAATGGACTTCTATATCGAAAAATTGTCCCATACGTCTATCGTCCAACAACTTTATTTATGGTCTTCCTCTTAATTCTAACCTTCTCATAAAAAAAGTCTAATTGGTCGGCACGTCGTCAAATTATATAAATTAATTATAATTTGTATTCGTTATCTTGCCAAAATATCTGAAGAAAATTACTATCAGATTAGATTATTTTCAAACGTTTTATCGGCCGGCAGGCGGTAGTTTTAATAAATGTCTCTTATGAAAAAGTTAATCGATTCTTTAAGATATTTAAAAAGTATAAAAAACATTGATGTTATTTATTTTTAAACGCATGTATGTCCGTATTCTAATTTGACTCTAATCGTATTATTCTTGCGCCTTAATGTGGCAGAATGTCAATAAACTTTAAAGCACAGTTGTAAAGGGTGTTGCCATTTCTCTGGACTTTCCCACTGTTCAAGCGGCCTGTGTAATAGTTATGAACTTAGAAATTCAATGGTGGTGCCAAAAATAAAAGCAATATCTGAACGACGATGTTCTCTGTAATGTAAGTCACTATCTATTATAAATCGTACTTTCACTTACCAGTGTGGTTCTTATTTTTTATTCCCTTCTGAGCGTTCTACTTTCATTTCTTTTGTGCCACGTTAAAGGGCATGTACTATACGTTCGTATCTTTTATTAGAGTGTCGTAAGTGTCGGATTAGTATGCATTTTGCATATGTAAGCCTGTATATGTACATGCATTTACCAAGTAAATTGCATTGTGAACTCTCAATTGTCATGACTGATTACTATTGTTCTGGACGGACTCCCTTAAGGGCTCTCAATTTCCTATATGGGAATTAATATATTGCTAGATAACAAAACTATTCCCTAACATACGATGACAATTGTAGTACCTACAGGTACATATTCGTACGTACATACGTGTTATGTATTAAGATTATTTCTCATAGATGAAGCGAAAGGATAATACAGGATTAATATTGGCAACATTATACGATTGCGCCTAAAAACAGTTTCAGGGCGTAGTAGGAGATAAATTTGAAGGCAGAGAACTTGGTATAAGTTTATCGCTTCATGAGCTGACCGAATTTTCGAAAGACAAAGAACCTCGAAGCGAGTTTTCACCGGAAATTTGCATTTCGTGACTGGCTCTTTAAAGATTCGGAGGATTAGATGTCAGATAAACTGGTGCAACTTCTAATCAACAAAATCACGCCAACAAATAACCTTTCAAATGAACGAATTTGCGTGCTCGGCAGTTCTAATTTAACTTATCATATTTCAAATCGTTCTATCATTGCAAGGTAAACTTACATGTTATTACTCTGTCAGGAATGCGTCGATTTATGGCGAAGAAAAAGCCAAATATTCAGTTCTCGGTAGTAATCTATGTAATATAGTCTTTGTTATAGTTTGAATTATTGGATAGTCCAATAAGAGTTTAGAAAATGAAAGAAATTTTGAAAATTTTAAAATTATAGTGAAAACCATTTTTTCTTCAAATTTTCTTTACTATCTTAATGACAGCGATTAGTTGCTAAAATGAGTCTGATAGTAAGCTATTAGCAATTATGTTAGAGTTTGAAATAAAATTACATCAAACTGCTGTTGTACTTTTTAATTTATAAAAACACTGGTGCGGCAATTTTTTATGATTTGCTTCCTAGTTCGTAAGAATGAAATTAAATAGGATAAAGTTATCCTTTTTCGCTGATTTTCAACGAGACGGTCGACAGTCCGTAAGATTACAACAAACTACCTATTAAACTGTTTACAATCGGTTTGATTTTTCATGGCGATTAAACAGTAGAATGTTCGGCTGGTAATCGGTAATTTATTCAAGCGGAATCGTTTTTCACTGCTGCCACGATTTTCGATCCATTAAGTAAATCTCCTCGTTTGAAAAAGCAGAGCGAGGCTCATCTCTTGCATATACGTGTTTCCTCTTCGTAAACCCATCGTTTGTGTCAAACAGACAATTTGCTCTGCTTTCAGATAAAGCTCGCTTATTAAGCAGGTAGACATTTGGAATTATTTATTTTCGGTCTTCTTTTTTTTTTTTAGTTCCGGTGGAAATTGAAAATTCTTTTTCCAATCGATTACAAATGAGCTCGATCTGCTTGAGAATACGACTTTAGCGCATCTTCAGTTTTAGACAGCGTATTTTATCTTGACCTGAAACCATCAAGTAAATGCGACGTTAAATGAAAATAAATGGAAGCAAAATAAAAATATTGCTATGCGAGGTTACCTCCCTTATGTACAAGCTAATTAAAAAATGTGTCCTACATCAATATTGCCTTTGAGAAAGGGGGTTTTGCTTAAGTTAGTTGCAATTACCATGATCCTTAATAAAGATAATTTTCGAAGTTATTGGTTTCTAATCATATAAGATACCATACCTTCTTTTTCTTGAGTATTTACCATATGTTCCTGATAATTATAGCAATTGGAAGTTCTTGAAAGTTTTGTATAATATTTTACAATCATGACAGTTTCCTTCTTCCTGTTTCCCTCTTTCATCCCTCGGTCTTACCCTGAAGGATAAGGAGCTTAAATTCTTAGCATACTTATCATCAAATATCTCAAATAGGATATTTATCTTCGCTTTATGACTTTAAAGAGATCACGATCTGCTAATTGTGATCTGTGGAGGTCTTGTTTATTTCTTCTAGTCCATCAGGGCTCTACAGCATGGAACAGAACAGACCAAACGTAACATTTAGCAGTCCTACAACTGAGTTTAAAGTTTAGATTCTTGTTTGTGAGGAATTTTGTGGAATGTTAATCTTGTATGTTCTTTCCTGCTTCTGATGTCCAATTTTGATTCGACGTATATTCTAAATATTTAAATAGTAACTGATCTGATCTTTAGCAATCTACATAGAAATATGTGCGGGGTTTGATTTAGTGAACTTTAGCTTCGACCCCTTTTATTTTTCTTGAATGCGTTGTTGATAGGATGACTTATAGTTTTTTTATCTACTTGATCATAATAAACCTCTGCGTTGATGGAATCACTTCTTTAGTGTTATTGTCCAACTTTGTTTACGTTCAATTGATTGTCAATTGCATATTAAAGGAAGTATTGTTTTGATCGATTTAAGTCATTTGATGTGAGATGTGGTTAGAAACCAATGGGTTATTTGTCTTTGAAATCGTCCATATATTTTATCTATCACTCTTTGTACTTACTCCTTGAATCTTTCGTAGTCCTTATAAAGCCTTGCACCAAAATGACAAATTTCGGTTTTGATTTTTTAAGAAAACGCTCTTTTGCCGGCACCCTGGCTTTGATCCACTTATAATCTTGAAATAAGAGGAAGAATTGTTCTACCAATTATCTTGAAATAAGAGAAAGAGTTGTTCTACCATTTTAAATTTTCAACAAATCCTAAAGTATTTTCGCAATTTTGCAAGTATTAAATGGGCAAGCATCCTTCTAAATATTAATTATAATTCAAGTTTTAAAACTTCAAAATACATTCAATTTATTAAGTTTAGGTATTTTAATCCTCATTTTAGTTGATCATAATTATAAGAACGATCGGCTTAGATAATGATAAAACTGTTAAGCAGTTTATTTATGGATTGAACGAACGAGGCAACAGGGGGCGCCTTCTATTCCGTGGAAGTATTTGTAATTAACAAAATTAATTAAAACTTTTCCGACTGCCTCCGTTACCTACTGATGATTGTCAAAGATTTGTTTTGAAACGTTCAATATTTCAAACACTACAGTTGAAATACAATAGACTTCCTAAAGATAATTAATACCTACTATTCTAATATTTGGTCTTTGACAAATTATTTCGTTTCTGTAAATTATATAAATTATTTTAGGATTCATTCTAAAAATGTAAAAAAAAACCTTGTTGTGGAACATGGTTGACCACGTCTGTTTTTAAAGTTCATTTCAATTGTAAATCAAGTCCACATCGCGGACACGAAAGTTAATGGTGGGATAGCTACAGACTTGATGATATCCATAACGAAATTGCCACATTTGTTACTGTTACAAAATTTTAATTAATACGTGTATTTATAATAGCAATTCAGCAACTGGGAAGTAGTGTTTACGTAGCTCGAAAGGTACTTTCAAATTAATTTCTTGTTTTAATTATACAAGTTCTTACAAAATTAATGTAATTAAATTCTAATGAAATAGTATTTTTTTACGTCTGTTTTATAACCAAAATATTTGTGTTGGGCAAAAACATTAAACACTTACTCAGAATTTAATGATTACTTTAATTTACCCCAAAGCTATATATAAACATTTATTAGGAAATTAATTTGAATTTCAAAAGGACAACCGAAGGCAAATCGAGTGACACCTTATTAATTTGTATTTTGATGTTTTGCAACACTTAATAAATTTATTTACAATTTTATATAAATAAGTACTGTGGAGTAAATTATTTGTCACCGCCTTTCCCAGCCATGAAAACGTTACCCTTTCTAGCTTTTTGAAGTTATGAAGTTCAGGACCGTCGCTATAGTGACCTTGACCTTGTTCTGCATCGCCATGATGAGTACCTTTGAGGTGGGACTTCATTTTTGGAAAGAAATAAAAATCGTATAGGGCTAAATCTGAGCTATAGGGTGGGGAAGCGGCAACGTGGGACTTTTTTGTCCAAAATCCAGCATTTTTTCGTAAGAGCTTTCAACCCCTTCAGGATATCAACGTAGAAAAGGCCATTGTTTGATTGCAAAGAATGTAGGTACTCGCAGTAAACAATGCCCTGAATATTTAAAATTTGAGGTTAGACGTTCATGCTATCATAGCCTTTTTTTCCCCACTGCTGTCTACTGCTGATGTAGAAGCTCTAGATAAACACTCGTTCCCATGCCCATTTTCCCGTTTGTGAAAGATTTCAGACGGGTTTCAGCCCGATTTTATCAAAAATTCTATCACGACACGTTGCTTGTGATTTGAGTCATTTATTTTTACGATGCCTCTAAACATCTTGCTTACGAAAAACATGAATAAGACAGGAACGGAACGAGGTACCGACTTCAAACTTCTACAAGTAGACCCTAAGGTCTGCCTCCCGCACATAAGAAGGATCATAATATTTCAAACTACCTGTACAGCATAGATACATGTACATACGTACATACANTACAGTAAAAGTTTCTTATTCACAGTTTCCTTATTCGCGAGTGAAAAAATTGCAACCCAGTTCCTGTATTCGCGGCTAAAAATTTCATTATTGGCGGATGCAATCGGTGAACAGAAAAGGATTCGGTGTCATTTATTAAGGGGATTGACCGCAATAAACCGCTCGTGCCTAGTGTGAATTTTTCCGAAAACATGGGTTTCTATTCTAAACATTGTGATTTAACGCTGCCAGATAAATAGGTGATTTTTTGTATGGTAACGAATAAAGGTTCACACTAACTCGGTACGTTTTTGGTTTTCAGTATTATCGTCATTAAAAGCTTTTACAAGTGCTTAAAGTTGATGCTTCGTAGGACACGTATTTTCAATAGAAATTAAAAAATTAAAAATGACCTTCGACAGGCTTTAGACCAAAGCTTTATCTATCTTACTACAAAATTTCAAACTTCTGTTTCAAACATTAATTTCATGATATCTAGAACCGATAAGCATGTTTTTGCTATACGGCGCATCTACTACTTAATACCCTCATGTATCAGCATCTTTTGAGCATGTACTGTTGGTATTTGCCGAGGCGACTTTATAAAAGATGTAATCGAGTGAACCAATACAAAATTCAAAACAAGAAAAGATCACTAAATTTTTTAAACCCTTGTTTAAAGCTGATTATCCATATCCACGGTTTCTGTATTCGCGGCATATTTATGGAACGTATACCCCGCGAATAAAGACCTTTTACTGTACTTACAAAATGAAAATTAGCTCCCACCATGCACAGGAATGTAGGTATTATATACTAACTAATTAATACGACGGTTAAAATTTAAAACGAATTTTCACGGTTTAAGTAAATGTCAAACGCTAAATCATTTATGTGCTGCTTGCGTAAGCTGGAAAGGCTGGGAAAGAGAATGCAGAAGCGGGTTAAATATAGACCAGCTTTCATATTGCACCTACAGCTAATAATGTTTCCAGGAGAGTACACATTACGGAGGAGACGTTGCGTTGCCTGAACGGGGACTACGAAGTAGAGCCTGGAAATGGGGGAGAACGCAACATCTACCTAAAAGATCATTCCATTGAAACTTATTTAATAGTCCCACAGGACTCATACAGGGTGGTAAGTACACAATATTGTTTCAGCATCCAAACAAAAGCCTTCACAATTTAGGTGAATTTACATCCCGTAGGGTAGATCGGAATTAAAACCCGAGAAGGGATATGAAAAAACGTTGGGTGCACTCAATAAAAAGGATACAAATAAGTCCTAACAAGGATATAAATAAGTCTTTGCGTACATGTATAGTTATGATGTATGAATTATTCATTTTTCAGCATTAATTGACGATAATTTGATTATTTTTTATAAGTATTTAGAATGCAATATTAATTTCTCTATTTTAAAAATTAGAAGGAAATTTTCTGTTATGTTTTATCATAATTTCAATTAGTATATTTTCATTAAGATTAATATTTGTTCGATTTTATTTTTTGGAATTTTTTGGTGGTTTCTTATTCCGTAGCATTTCCATTAATGAAAGGAAATGTTATTTACGGAAAATGAATATATTTACGTTTCAGTGCAGTAAATCAAGCGAAAGCACTTTGATGGCTAATAAAATGAAGATTTATAGGCTACGAAATGGACATAATTATTTCCACAGTCGTAAACCATTTCATGGTTGCTGACATTGTGAAGTTTATTGCCACAGTGATCCCTTCTGACAGTACTCACGATTTTGGGGAAACTTTGCCAAAAAAGAAAAGAAANGTGTCTGTAGTAATGTATCATTATGAGAAATTGTGGTTGTTTTTAACCCAAGTCTCTGATATGAAAAACCTCTTGTGTCTGTAGTAGTGTATCATTATGAGAAATTGTGGTTGTTTTTAACCCAAGTCTCTGATATGAAAAACCTCTTGTGTCTGTAGCAGTGTATCATTATGAGAAAATGTGGTTGTTTTTCACCCAAGTCTCCTCAAGTGAAAGACCTCTGGGGTCTGTAGCAAAGAATCATTAGCAGAAACTAATGAAAGGTCTTTCGTGTTTGTAGCAATGTATCAATAATCTGTAGATCAAACAAAGGAATTTTGAGCAATTTAGGTATAGGGGAAAAGAAACGGAAATCTAAACGCAACCAAAAGATACGTCCTCCTTCTTAAATTTGGTACGGTCGGTTTGATGTCGATTCAGTACAGAAAACCATTTTTTTGTATAATTTTTGAAGCTTGATTCATTCGGGTTCGTGCTCAAAGATATATTCTCCTTAATGTAAAAATAGTAGAAAACAAAACAAATACCCATTTTATCTTCAAAAGAAAATGATAAAAGTGTGTCTGAGACCCTATATGCGCCTGTATTTTTAAGAAATTGTTTATAGGTCGACCTAAACTTATAGTTAAAAAAGATTCATAAAAATTTAACGGATATGGGGCAAAACTACCTTTGCAAAAAGAAGGCAATTTTTTTATGATCTCTATCTTTTGCTTCTCGTCCATGAATAATACCTTATTGCTTTTTATTTATTCAGTTTCTTTTATTGGTTTTTTGTTTCTTCGATGGAGTTTTTACGGTACATAGAAGTGTACAATACAATTATTCTCTGTCTCAGACGATTTCACTTCCATATTAAGGTTGAAAGGAAAGATGTATGTGCGATCAAAAAAAAAATCAGTCGATGGAAAAGCGTTGAAAACTTGAAAATCACTTTAATATCTAATGCGATTATTCCTATCTGTTACATCGAGGGCTATTCATTAATATTAATTGGTTATTCCTGCATACATTTTGCATTATTCATAGGGCGAATGCATCAATCACCGATACATCAGGGTATCAGTTCCGTTATTGGAGAATTATGCTAATTTTATCGATTTTATAGATGTATGGTGTGGAAAAACGGGAAAATTAATTTCAACTTCATACAGAATTTTCATCTACCTGTAAAACGCTTTAAAATAATGTTATTATTCTCTGTAACATTTCGAAATTTATTTTCACTCTTCTTTTGCAATTTTATATTTTATTTCGTATCTTATTTGAGTTAATTTGACCTTGCGGATGAGAATTTAATTAAATTTTAAGTGTACAGAATATCAGTAAACATTTTCGAGCACTTAAACGTTTATTTTTCAGAGCATTGGCGGTACTCTGCACAAAATTTCCAGGGCTATTCACGGAAACAGAAATAACGCTCAAATTTTATCTACTTTTGTAATCTTCCTAGTATTCTGTATTAAAGTGTAGATTATAGAAATGAAAATGTCTACAAAATTAAAATGTGTTATGTAACATTCTTGAGATAGGATAAGTTGAAATACTAACATAAGTTGCTGGTTTTTGATAACATTACCTAAATGGCACAAAATATCATTCTTTATTTAGTTTGACGACGAGGTTGGGTTTGGGTGAAGCAGCAGATGAAAAAAATCCTGAAGACGAGGTGAACGAGTACTTAATGAAAGCGATCGACGCTCGAAGTATCGATCGACTGCGATCTGAACACTGTCGACCCCTTTTGTTAACATTTAGAGAAGCAGATAAGGAAACAAAGGTAATCCTTAATTAATTAGTTTCTTAATATTTTAAGATGATATTCCTTAAAAGTTTTCGAAGCATAATATGAAATTGATTAGGTAATCTGCAAAATGCGTATATATAATGAGAAAGAAAATTGGAGCAAATATTCCATGTACAATATTAAGGAGTGGAACCTGGGTAGGGTATTTTCAAAATTCAATTTTTAAGTGGCTAAAACGAGGGGTTCAAAAACAATTAGATGTAGTTTTGATAAATAAGGTAATAAAAAGCTATCGTTGGTTTCCACTGCTATAATATTAACATTGAGCTACTTCATTAAAAAAAATTAATAAAACCGCGACGATTGGCTTTACTGGTAGTTTCATTATGATTTTGAAACTATATTCCCGAAGAAACGTAAATTCTGAAATTACTTCAAATCCACATTCAAGAACTATTGATTTATTGAGAATACCTGCGGCGAGCTGATGGGATCTACTTAACATAAAATCAAATAGATCCGATAGAAGTTTTATTTTTGAACTTGCATTTCGTACAACAACTTTACAGAAATAGACACAAACAAATTCGAAGGAATTTCGTAAAAGAAATAATACAGTTGATGCTGGTCCATATAAGACAGTTTTCTTCTTAAAATGTGGTATTTTTGTAAGGGCAAAGTAAAATGGATTGCAAAGTGTCAGAACTATTTATTTCACTTGCGCGTTTACAATCGCAATTCGATTCGTCAACGTGCCAGATTTTCTAAAAATATATTCTCATTTGCACCGCTTCCTTAAATTGTACAAACATTTATCATTAGAGTGTATACAGATATGCAGTTTGCACTCCTGCAAATGATCTCGGTCTATTTACTGATGCTGTCAGTTCCTGTATAAGTATTTTTTCACCCGTGTAAACAGATAGAAAAGGGCAAAGGTACGAACATATCGGTAACTAACCGATTCAAAAAGGTTTTGTATTTCTTATTTCTTCTTAAGTTATGGTATATTTACTCTGAAATTGTTGTACTTAATCAAAAGTCTTTGTTTAATTTTAGAAATATTTTAAACGTTTCCTTCGCCCTTAGCTACAGTACCTCTCGTTATATTTTTTTTTGTTTTTCTGAAGCACGGCAGAGTGCAATTAGGGTAACTGCTTTCGGTAGCTTTACCCTAACACTCACGTTTCTAATATATTCCAAACGACTTCCCATCGCTTACAGCGTAAAATTAATGTTGGAAAGGTAATTTAGAAGTAAAATAAGGTCAATTAAGTAAGGAGAAACCCATTACATGCATTTTTAAACGGTAATGCCCAACTTAACATTCTTCACCCCTAATTCACTTTTCAGAATTCCTTTACCAGCTCTTCACGAAGTAAATACAAAAAGTAATTCTAACACAATAGCTAATTTAACAAATTATATCACCTTGAACTAATTACGTGCCTGGCTGTAAATTAATTTAAATTAGGCTATTGCTGTTCCAATTTCTTAGTTAAAATATCTTTCGAACTTATTGGTTCCCATTAGCACGCCAGAAGCCGTTTCGAAAAATCATCGACGAAACTTTCTAAAGCCGATGCAATATCAAATCATTAGCAATATACCGCTACCTAGTGATATTTACTGCTAATTATAGCATTTCAAATGTTTGATAAGGGCATTACGAAAAGGTATTTACTTTTGACAATTTGTGATACTCATAGATTTCCTTGATCGTGTTAATTAATTTTGTATTGTGCTTCTCGCGTTTCATGTGTTCTATCTATTGAAGTTTTAGTTGTATTCTATCTAATGTGTTATAAGAATTATAATAGTTAGAGATAAAATAGAAACTTTGCTTGTATACCTATACTGTCGCTCCTGTTACAGACTCATCGTTTTATTTTCAGTATGCAAAGGAGAGAGATAGAATGCTTAAATTGTATTTTTTATGCTCCATCGTATGTTTTGTGACTATTTTAACAACTGAACTTATACATGAAAGGTAAGTCATGTCTTTTTGAAAATATAATGTTTCTCATCGAACGTGTGTTTAAATGGGATTTTATTAATTCTATGATAATTTTGAATTGAGATACAGTACTACTTAAGTAATAAAAACTGAATTTTATAAATTATACCGAAACTGAAAACTAGTATTCAATAGCGTCAATTTTTTTGTAAAATACTACAAAATAATCAGATTTGGAATCTTTTCTCAATTTTTACTTATTTTTTTATTTGAAGAAATCTAATTATAAAATCTCAGAGTAAGAATAATGAAAGAAAACAAAATTTTATTAATTGTTGTTTGATGTTGTAAAAATATTTTATTGTTATTTATCGTTTTACAATAAGGGTTACGAACGCGATTTGTATTTTTATTTCAGAAATGTTTACACGTTGGTGTGTGCAATAACGCTGTTTTTAATATTGGTCGCAGTGCAACTTGTAGTAGTTGTAGAACGAGTCCAGGTGAGTACCTACAATAACTAATCGTAAGTCACACTTTTGTATTTACAGGCTAATAATAGGGCGATATTTTAACAATAGCGACTCATTATCGAAGGAGGGAAACAGAGCGATTTAGTGTAATTCGCAATGTACCTAATACCTCTAATGGAGTGTCTTCACAAAGATCGTTTTATATTATTAGCCGAAAATGTAGTTACTTTTCACTCTAATCTTCCTAAATGAGAGATCACACGTGTCTGTAGCAATGTATCATTAGCAGAAATTGTGGTTATTTTTCACCCAAGTCGTGTGTGTGTTGCAAACAATCATTAGCAGAAACTGTGGTTGTTTTTCACGGAAGCTTTCTCAAATAAAAGATCTCTCGTGTCTCTACCATCAATGTATCAAAAATCTGTAGATCAAATAAAGGGATTTTGAGCAATTTATACGGGAAAAGAATCGTAAATCTAAATGCAACCAAAAAATACTTCCGCCTTCTTAAATTTGCTACGATTGGTTTGATGTCGGTCCATTACGGAAATCCATTTGTTGTTTTTCGCATAAGTTCCCCAAAATTATGAGAAAATGTGGTTGTTTTTCACCCAAGTCTCCACTAATGAAAGATCTCTCGTGTCTGTAGCAATGTATCATTATGAGAAATTGTGGTTGTTTTTAACCCAAGTCTCTGATATGAAAAACCTCTTGTGTCTGTAGTAGTGTATCATTATGAGAAATTGTGGTTGTTTTTAACCCAAGTCTCTGATATGAAAAACCTCTTGTGTCTGTAGCAGTGTATCATTATGAGAAAATGTGGTTGTTTTTCACCCAAGTCTCCTCAAGTGAAAGACCTCTGGGGTCTGTAGCAAAGAATCATTAGCAGAAACTAATGAAAGGTCTTTCGTGTTTGTAGCAATGTATCAATAATCTGTAGATCAAACAAAGGAATTTTGAGCAATTTAGGTATAGGGGAAAAGAAACGGAAATCTAAACGCAACCAAAAGATACGTCCTCCTTCTTAAATTTGGTACGGTCGGTTTGATGTCGATTCAGTACAGAAAACCATTTTTTTGTATAATTTTTGAAGCTTGATTCATTCGGGTTCGTGCTCAAAGATATATTCTCCTTAATGTAAAAATAGTAGAAAACAAAACAAATACCCATTTTATCTTCAAAAGAAAATGATAAAAGTGTGTCTGAGACCCTATATGCGCCTGTATTTTTAAGAAATTGTTTATAGGTCGACCTAAACTTATAGTTAAAAAAGATTCATAAAAATTTAACGGATATGGGGCAAAACTACCTTTGCAAAAAGAAGGCAATTTTTTTATGATCTCTATCTTTTGCTTCTCGTCCATGAATAATACCTTATTGCTTTTTATTTATTCAGTTTCTTTTATTGGTTTTTTGTTTCTTCGATGGAGTTTTTACGGTACATAGAAGTGTACAATACAATTATTCTCTGTCTCAGACGATTTCACTTCCATATTAAGGTTGAAAGGAAAGATGTATGTGCGATCAAAAAAAAAATCAGTCGATGGAAAAGCGTTGAAAACTTGAAAATCACTTTAATATCTAATGCGATTATTCCTATCTGTTACATCGAGGGCTATTCATTAATATTAATTGGTTATTCCTGCATACATTTTGCATTATTCATAGGGCGAATGCATCAATCACCGATACATCAGGGTATCAGTTCCGTTATTGGAGAATTATGCTAATTTTATCGATTTTATAGATGTATGGTGTGGAAAAACGGGAAAATTAATTTTAACTTCATACAGAATTTTCATCTACCTGTAAAACGCTTTAAAATAATGTTATTATTCTCTGTAACATTTCGAAATTTATTTTCACTCTTCTTTTGCAATTTTATATTTTATTTCGTATCTTATTTGAGTTAATTTGACCTTGCGGATGAGAATTTAATTAAATTTTAAGTGTACAGAATATCAGTAAACATTTTCGAGCACTTAAACGTTTATTTTTCAGAGCATTGGCGGTACTCTGCACAAAATTTCCAGGGCTATTCACGGAAACAGAAATAACGCTCAAATTTTATCTACTTTTGTAATCTTCCTAGTATTCTGTATGGCTCTAGCATCAACGGTAAGCGACGCAAATAAAAACCACTTACTTAATTATATTTTGTGTTGTGGCGATTTGATAGTTTTTAAGAAAGTAATTAATTTTTTAGAGTAAGGTATTGAGTGTGTGGTTGTATATATTTTTTGGTATGTCTGTGATGCATGTATTTGTGTGTTTGGAATTTCTGTATTATTGTATTATTATTGTGTAAATATTCTTTTCTTATAATTCTATTTTTATACTTACTCTATTCTATACCTACTCTATACCTATTCTTCAGCTAAACGACTATTTAATTGCCTACGTACTTTGCTATCATCCCTTTTAACAATTCAACTCTGTATACTAACTGCATGACGTCTATAATTCTTACTTTTCCTAATTGCAGTTTTATGGTCAGTTTCTTCGGTGATTTGGGGTCAAACTTAATTTCTAGGTATTTCTTCTAAACTAAATTTCCAGGTTTTACTACCATCTTATTGGTTCCCTACTTTAATTAACTTATTTCTAACTCCTCCTTATCACCCTTCTTACGATCTCTTTTTCAAAAACTAAAATCAGTTCTGACTTATCCTTCCTAATTTCAACTTCACCATTCTACATTCTTAATTCTAGTCTTATTTTTTTGTTCTTGTTTATTAAAGTTGTTATCGTATTCTGCGTTCTATTATTTAACCACCTCAACATCAGGACACACAACGAGACTAAAGTATATATAACGCAGTCAATAAGTGTTTTTCTTAGAAAAATAATGAAGAATCTTTTTCAAAATTAAACCCTATCGTATGAACAGTAGTGGCTAATTTATTATTGCTCTATATGTGTATTAGATGTGTCTGTATTTACTCAAAATTACATGGATGTTGTATTTTGTTGACAGCTTCCATCACCTTCTTCCACGTACGTAAGAAACGAAACAATAATTGATACATTGGACTCAACAGATGATTCCGTAATCTATTATTTACATAGTACTGATGTAAGTTTTTGAGGGAAAAACCTACGTTATCTAACCCATTTTATTATTTTTTTTAATGTTCATAACAAACACGCGCATAAATAGAGGACCAGGTTTTAATCTCGCATGAATCCGAGATTCCGTAATGAACATAAGTAATTACGGAAAAATGAACAAGTATATCGGCCGCAGACAAAAATTCTCTCCACTCAACTATTGTTGATTCTTGTAATACAACTTGAAACAATTATAGAGGAGTAAGGATAATTGCAAGCAAGACTAAAACCTACTAGCCTCGTCTCATAACAAAAGTATGAACAATGCAAAACTAACCAAAATAATTGTAATTTTTTTCCAGAGGTTTTTACTTCTAATTCTAATTTCGATGATAGCCTGCGCTGTGTATCAAGTACTGATCTCTTTACTTAAGACAATTCTAATGTTAATTATGATGGCTGGTTACTTCCACATTTTCTTTTTAAGAAAGTTCGAGTACGAGTCCACATACAAAACAGGGTAATACACACATGAATACGTTTAAGTGCATAAATATGTAATAAATTATTACCTTAATGGTATCATACGTGTCCGGCATTTCTTCTACTTCTTACCAATTATAGTGCCCCTTAATAACGCGAATTTACTCTGTTGGACAAATTGTGTTTGAGTTCATCACCATAAAGTCGTCAGTCTTAAGACTGGTTGGACACGCACCTCCACTCCTTCGTATACTGAGCTAATCTTTGCATTTCCCCAAAACTAGAACAACCCACATCTTTAACTATTTGCGAACAGTAATCTAACCTAGGTCTACCTCTACCCCTTTTAACTCCCGTTTCTGTCTCTAATATGTCTCTGACTAGACCTTCATGCCTGAGAAGGTGTCCTACCAACTTATCTTCCCTATTTTTTATTGAATTCCACAGAGTCCTCTGTTCTCGTATTCTCTCTAATACCTCTTCATTTCTAACCTTTTCTTCCATAATATCCTCATCATTCGCCTGTAACACCACATTTCGAACGCTTCTAACCTTTTCTTTTTCGTCGCTTCCACCGTCTATGTTTCGCATCCGCCGCGCTCCAATCATTTTCGAATTTCTAAATTAACCGTTCGCAACTCTACCCTGCGCTATTCCTTGCTCCATATCCCTACTACTCCTTCCGTCTTGCCTTATCTGGCTTCCCAGATACCTAAAATCAGTCACTTCTTCTAATCTTATCATTTATCGACTCCCAAAAATGCATGCGTTATAAAATCAAAGAACCCTCCTTCCTGTCACCATTTTCCGATCTACATAAAATTAATGGTAAGAAGTGGATTGTAATTCTAACAGTTTATCACAATATTGTCCATTTTAATTGTAAAGGGTAATAATTTATTATTTTCTTGTGGGTTTTTAAAAATTTACTCCTATTTTACATGAGATTTGCGGTAAAGAGATCAATTTTTGTTGAAGGTCTGTCACAGGAACATCGTTGACGATGGAGTATGTAAGTGTTGTGGTAGTAATAGGGTTCGTTCTGGCTTTAATAATTCACAGTCAACAAACAGAAGCGACGTACAGGTTGGATTTCGTGTGGAAATTGCAAGCTACTGGTAAGTGGACTAAATACAAACTTTTATGGCTGCGTTAATGAGACACTCGATTCAAATTGTGCCACTATCCTAATGAGAGTAATTGCTCCCGGGACGAGACCAATAAAAACCGAATTGTCCAGTTAGTAATACGTAATGATTATTATTATGTATGAGTTATATTTTAACTATTTGCGGAGTATAATCTTGAACAACTAGAAGACAATTTTAAACATTCAGGTATCCCAAATTCTCCACAATAATTTAAAAAATGCGGACACGAATTTTGCTTACGTGCTTTTGTGAGCGTTCTTGACGTAAATGTTGCGAAGAATTTTTTTCGTATTTTTATTAGTTCCAACCACCACAATCTCCTTTTTGAGAAAAGGACGATAAAGAATTCCTTGTTGTTTTCCAAGTAAAATTTTGTAATTAGTTGTTTATGCTTAATAAATTCTGTTTTTATTAACGAGAGACCTTAATATTAACTAAATATTACAAAGGACCGAAGAAATTTCAATAAAGAAAACTTTCACCATCAATACTTTCGCAGCAGCAATCTTTTCCCATTGTGGCATTTTTAATGTGAGTTGTTTACTTCGAAAATATCTGCTAAAGAATTTTGGAATGTCTACTCCCTTTAAAAGTGGTTGAAAGCACTTTTAGTATTTTTTTTACCACACTTGAAAATATAACTGCGGGTAAATTTCTGTAAAAGGTGAACGTTGTGCCTACGTATTCTTATATCCATGTAGTTATGCGTGTGTGTTAGTTTTAATATACAGATACTTTTACTATGTATTACTTTTTTAAGTTTGGTGGTTTTTGCCTTTTAAACTTTTTTACTGTTTATTACAGAGGAGAAAGAAGATATGGAACATTTGGAGGCATACAACAAAAAGCTTTTAGCGAATATTCTTCCCGTGCATGTAGCTGAACATTTTTTAAATAGCGATAATAACGATGTAAGTAAAAAATTTTATTAATACCATTTCATCCCCTTTAGTTGTAATATGTCAAACTCGCAAAGGTTTTTGTTTTTATTTTAAAACCACGCCGACGTTTCATCCCCAGATGGAAGGCTTCATTTTCTATTAATTGTAGGAAACAATAATNAAATTTTATTAATTGTTGTTTGATGTTGTAAAAATATTTTATTGTTATTTATCGTTTTACAATAAGGGTTACGAACGCGATTTGTATTTTTATTTCAGAAATGTTTACACGTTGGTGTGTGCAATAACGCTGTTTTTAATATTGGTCGCAGTGCAACTTGTAGTAGTTGTAGAACGAGTCCAGGTGAGTACCTACAATAACTAATCGTAAGTCACACTTTTGTATTTACAGGCTAATAATAGGGCGATATTTTAACAATAGCGACTCGTTATCGAAGGAGGGAAACAGAGCGATTTAGTGTAATTCGCAATGTACCTAATACCTCTAATGGAGTGTCTTCACAAAGATCGTTTTATATTATTAGCCGAAAATGTAGTTACTTTTCACTCTAATCTTCCTAAATGAGAGATCACACGTGTCTGTAGCAATGTATCATTAGCAGAAATTGTGGTTATTTTTCACCCAAGTCGTGTGTGTGTAGCAAACAATCATTAGCAGAAACTGTGGTTGTTTTTCACGGAAGCTTTCTCAAATAAAAGATCTCTCGTGTCTCTACCATCAATGTATCAAAAATCTGTAGATCAAATAAAGGGATTTTGAGCAATTTATACGGGAAAAGAATCGTAAATCTAAATGCAACCAAAAAATACTTCCGCCTTCTTAAATTTGCTACGATTGGTTTGATGTCGGTCCATTACGGAAATCCATTTGTTGTTTTTCGCATAAGTTCCCCAAAATTATGAGAAAATGTGGTTGTTTTTCACCCAAGTCTCCACTAATGAAAGATCTCTCGTGTCTGTAGCAATGTATCATTATGAGAAATTGTGGTTGTTTTTAACCCAAGTCTCTGATATGAAAAACCTCTTGTGTCTGTAGTAGTGTATCATTATGAGAAATTGTCATTAGCAGAAACTAATGAAAGGTCTTTCGTGTTTGTAGCAATGTATCAATAATCTGTAGATCAAACAAAGGAATTTTGAGCAATTTAGGTATAGGGGAAAAGAAACGGAAATCTAAACGCAACCAAAAGATACGTCCTCCTTCTTAAATTTGGTACGGTCGGTTTGATGTCGATTCAGTACAGAAAACCATTTTTTTGTATAATTTTTGAAGCTTGATTCATTCGGGTTCGTGCTCAAAGATATATTCTCCTTAATGTAAAAATAGTAGAAAACAAAACAAATACCCATTTTATCTTCAAAAGAAAATGATAAAAGTGTGTCTGAGACCCTATATGCGCCTGTATTTTTAAGAAATTGTTTATAGGTCGACCTAAACTTATAGTTAAAAAAGATTCATAAAAATTTAACGGATATGGGGCAAAACTACCTTTGCAAAAAGAAGGCAATTTTTTTATGATCTCTATCTTTTGCTTCTCGTCCATGAATAATACCTTATTGCTTTTTATTTATTCAGTTTCTTTTATTGGTTTTTTGTTTCTTCGATGGAGTTTTTACGGTACATAGAAGTGTACAATACAATTATTCTCTGTCTCAGACGATTTCACTTCCATATTAAGGTTGAAAGGAAAGATGTATGTGCGATCAAAAAAAAAATCAGTCGATGGAAAAGCGTTGAAAACTTGAAAATCACTTTAATATCTAATGCGATTATTCCTATCTGTTACATCGAGGGCTATTCATTAATATTAATTGGTTATTCCTGCATACATTTTGCATTATTCATAGGGCGAATGCATCAATCACCGATACATCAGGGTATCAGTTCCGTTATTGGAGAATTATGCTAATTTTATCGATTTTATAGATGTATGGTGTGGAAAAACGGGAAAATTAATTTCAACTTCATACAGAATTTTCATCTACCTGTAAAACGCTTTAAAATAATGTTATTATTCTCTGTAACATTTCGAAATTTATTTTCACTCTTCTTTTGCAATTTTATATTTTATTTCGTATCTTATTTGAGTTAATTTGACCTTGCGGATGAGAATTTAATTAAATTTTAAGTGTACAGAATATCAGTAAACATTTTCGAGCACTTAAACGTTTATTTTTCAGAGCATTGGCGGTACTCTGCACAAAATTTCCAGGGCTATTCACGGAAACAGAAATAACGCTCAAATTTTATCTACTTTTGTAATCTTCCTAGTATTCTGTATGGCTCTAGCATCAACGGTAAGCGACGCAAATAAAAACCACTTACTTAATTATATTTTGTATATATAACGCAGTCAATAAGTGTTTTTCTTAGAAAAATAATGAAGAATCTTTTTCAAAATTAAACCCTATCGTATGAACAGTAGTGGCTAATTTATTATTGCTCTATATGTGTATTAGATGTGTCTGTATTTACTCAAAATTACATGGATGTTGTATTTTGTTGACAGCTTCCATCACCTTCTTCCACGTACGTAAGAAACGAAACAATAATTGATACATTGGACTCAACAGATGATTCCGTAATCTATTATTTACATAGTACTGATGTAAGTTTTTGAGGGAAAAACCTACGTTATCTAACCCATTTTATTATTTTTTTTAATGTTCATAACAAACACGCGCATAAATAGAGGACCAGGTTTTAATCTCGCATGAATCCGAGATTCCGTAATGAACATAAGTAATTACGGAAAAATGAACAAGTATATCGGCCGCAGACAAAAATTCTCTCCACTCAACTATTGTTGATTCTTGTAATACAACTTGAAACAATTATAGAGGAGTAAGGATAATTGCAAGCAAGACTAAAACCTACTAGCCTCGTCTCATAACAAAAGTATGAACAATGCAAAACTAACCAAAATAATTGTAATTTTTTTCCAGAGGTTTTTACTTCTAATTCTAATTTCGATGATAGCCTGCGCTGTGTATCAAGTACTGATCTCTTTACTTAAGACAATTCTAATGTTAATTATGATGGCTGGTTACTTCCACATTTTCTTTTTAAGAAAGTTCGAGTACGAGTCCACATACAAAACAGGGTAATACACACATGAATACGTTTAAGTGCATAAATATGTAATAAATTATTACCTTAATGGTATCATACGTGTCCGGCATTTCTTCTACTTCTTACCAATTATAGTGCCCCTTAATAACGCGAATTTACTCTGTTGGACAAATTGTGTTTGAGTTCATCACCATAAAGTCGTCAGTCTTAAGACTGGTTGGACACGCACCTCCACTCCTTCGTATACTGAGCTAATCTTTGCATTTCCCCAAAACTAGAACAACCCACATCTTTAACTATTTGCGAACAGTAATCTAACCTAGGTCTACCTCTACCCCTTTTAACTCCCGTTTCTGTCTCTAATATGTCTCTGACTAGACCTTCATGCCTGAGAAGGTGTCCTACCAACTTATCTTCCCTATTTTTTATTGAATTCCACAGAGTCCTCTGTTCTCGTATTCTCTCTAATACCTCTTCATTTCTAACCTTTTCTTCCATAATATCCTCATCATTCGCCTGTAACACCACATTTCGAACGCTTCTAACCTTTTCTTTTTCGTCGCTTCCACCGTCTATGTTTCGCATCCGCCGCGCTCCAATCATTTTCGAATTTCTAAATTAACCGTTCGCAACTCTACCCTGCGCTATTCCTTGCTCCATATCCCTACTACTCCTTCCGTCTTGCCTTATCTGGCTTCCCAGATACCTAAAATCAGTCACTTCTTCTAATCTTATCATTTATCGACTCCCAAAAATGCATGCGTTATAAAATCAAAGAACCCTCCTTCCTGTCACCATTTTCCGATCTACATAAAATTAATGGTAAGAAGTGGATTGTAATTCTAACAGTTTATCACAATATTGTCCATTTTAATTGTAAAGGGTAATAATTTATTATTTTCTTGTGGGTTTTTAAAAATTTACTCCTATTTTACATGAGATTTGCGGTAAAGAGATCAATTTTTGTTGAAGGTCTGTCACAGGAACATCGTTGACGATGGAGTATGTAAGTGTTGTGGTAGTAATAGGGTTCGTTCTGGCTTTAATAATTCACAGTCAACAAACAGAAGCGACGTACAGGTTGGATTTCGTGTGGAAATTGCAAGCTACTGGTAAGTGGACTAAATACAAACTTTTATGGCTGCGTTAATGAGACACTCGATTCAAATTGTGCCACTATCCTAATGAGAGTAATTGCTCCCGGGACGAGACCAATAAAAACCGAATTGTCCAGTTAGTAATACGTAATGATTATTATTATGTATGAGTTATATTTTAACTATTTGCGGAGTATAATCTTGAACAACTAGAAGACAATTTTAAACATTCAGGTATCCCAAATTCTCCACAATAATTTAAAAAATGCGGACACGAATTTTGCTTACGTGCTTTTGTGAGCGTTCTTGACGTAAATGTTGCGAAGAATTTTTTTCGTATTTTTATTAGTTCCAACCACCACAATCTCCTTTTTGAGAAAAGGACGATAAAGAATTCCTTGTTGTTTTCCAAGTAAAATTTTGTAATTAGTTGTTTATGCTTAATAAATTCTGTTTTTATTAACGAGAGACCTTAATATTAACTAAATATTACAAAGGACCGAAGAAATTTCAATAAAGAAAACTTTCACCATCAATACTTTCGCAGCAGCAATCTTTTCCCATTGTGGCATTTTTAATGTGAGTTGTTTACTTCGAAAATATCTGCTAAAGAATTTTGGAATGTCTACTCCCTTTAAAAGTGGTTGAAAGCACTTTTAGTATTTTTTTTACCACACTTGAAAATATAACTGCGGGTAAATTTCTGTAAAAGGTGAACGTTGTGCCTACGTATTCTTATATCCATGTAGTTATGCGTGTGTGTTAGTTTTAATATACAGATACTTTTACTATGTATTACTTTTTTAAGTTTGGTGGTTTTTGCCTTTTAAACTTTTTTACTGTTTATTACAGAGGAGAAAGAAGATATGGAACATTTGGAGGCATACAACAAAAAGCTTTTAGCGAATATTCTTCCCGTGCATGTAGCTGAACATTTTTTAAATAGCGATAATAACGATGTAAGTAAAAAATTTTATTAATACCATTTCATCCCCTTTAGTTGTAATATGTCAAACTCGCAAAGGTTTTTGTTTTTATTTTAAAACCACGCCGACGTTTCATCCCCAGATGGAAGGCTTCATTTTCTATTAATTGTAGGAAACAATAATAATTATTATTACTAATTACATTAACGCAGAATTTAAATTCAAACGTAGCCCGAAAGTATGACATGAAATTGTTATTGTTAATATAAACAGCACTCCTAGTGTGTATTTATTTATTTACCAAATTTTGATCCTTTAAATGCATCAATTACGTTTTACGTAAATTGAATTTGTTTGTTTAATCTGTTTCAAAATTAATGAGCTTTGTAATATATCCGAATTATATATATATATCCGCAAATCATTTATTCATCGACTGACGCTAAATTATATGCGGCATGTACACCACTAAGCTTAGATCCACTCGATTGGTTGATGGAAACAATATTTTAGAGCCTAATCGGAAAAAAAAATGAATTTCCCAATTCGTACAATTAATCACATGACGGACTAAGTCGTGTGGACATCGCCACAATGAAGTTTTTCGATGTTTTTGAATTTTCAGTTAGCAGCAAACATCAGTAGCCGTAATTCGATATTATACGAAGTCTGTTCAAAATGTATCGCGAATTTTTCAAAAATGACTTATTTATTCATGAACATCCTTCAAAGTAATCCCCAGCAAATATCATGCACTTGTGCCAATGCTTTCTCCAATCCTCAAAGCACTTCAAAAAATTTTTTGTGATCCTATTCAGATCTTCCTTCGATGCCGTCTTTATCTCCTTAATAGATAGATAGCCTAGCGTCATCCTTTCATGGACCTCTTCAGTTTCGGGAGCAAGAACAAGTTACAGGGGGCAGATTTGGAGAATACGGTAGCTGCGGCATTATTGTGTTGTTTTGGCTAATAATTCGCGCACAAGCAACGATGTTTGAGCAGGTTATCATGGTGCAAAAGCCAATTTTTGTTCATCCACGAATCCGGATGTTTCTGGCGGATTGCTTCGCGCAAATTGCGTATAACTTGTATGCACCACGCCCCTGTAATCGAAGAAAACTGTAAGCAAAACCTTCACATTCGACATAACTTGACGGGCTTTTTTCGGTCTTGGCTCCTGCGGCAGCTTCCATTGGGATGATTGAGCTTTGGCTTCTACGTCATAACCATAAACCCATGATTCCTCACCAGTTATGACCCTCTGGAGCAAATTTGGGTCGTCTCGGACAGAGACCATCAGGTCGTTAGCAATGTTAATAAGACGCTGTTTTTTGGTCGGAACTAAGCAATTGTGGTACGAATTTCGCGGTGATCCGTCTCATGCCCGAATCATTGGTAAAAATCGAATGCTTCACCATGTGCCACGGTCAACATTCGAAATGCGTCCGTGAACTTAATCTTGTTTTTCACACAAAATTTGATATAGATTTTTTCATCCATTTTTTGGAACAGGCAAAAATCGAAGACGAGCCAAAACACGTGCATGCAAAGCAGCTGTGAAAAATTAATTGAACATTGAACACGGGTCGAACTTGTCGGTAAAAGTGAGAGACATGAGTACCAACACAACGCCACAAAAAAATCGAAAATCGAATATACGTAACCCGCGGAAATTCAAAATTCGCGATACTTTTTGAGCAGACCTCGAACATACAAACATGCTTACGTCTTCGGGTTGGTCGCGTGCTGATGGGATCTAATATGTTCGGTAGGATTGGGCCAAAAGCTTATCATTAAACTAATTAATTTTCTTAATCTTCTTCTTTAAATCTGAAATCATTTTTAACTCCCTACAATTTTTTTTTTATTATTCATAAATACGTTATAATTGGGTAAGTTATTCAAAGGAAGATTACTTTCTGAAACGGAAGATGTAGGTATTGTGCTCAATTTCTTAAACGAAATAACGCAATAGAATTTGTAATTTCGAAATCTAATAAAAAACAAGTACCTACTTGATATAATAGTATTTCTGGGAAAACTGAGACGATCTTATGCTTATAAAGTGCGCTTCCTTAATAAAACAAGAAAAATTTAATATTGCGCCCTTCTGAATAGTCTCGTATTGTACAATGCCTTTTATTTGGTTAATGGGAAACTCAAAATAAAAGAGTGACTAACATTAAATGCAAAATAACTGGTCGAAGAGTTTTAGCATCGTATGTGCATGTAGGTACCATTTCAACTTTCTGAAAACTTGAGTAGAAGATGTAAATAGGCAAAATATTCTCTGGAATCTCTTCGGAAGTTTGTTTCCGTTTTATTATTTTGAGAACGTATATTTATCTCGCAGTAAAGAAAATAGATTGTGTTATACCTTTTTCATTTTGACTATTTCGTTTTGTAAAAGAATCTCTGAATTATTGGAAAACGAATTTTAATATCGGAATAATATTTCCTCAGGGTGAGTTTGATATAAAATTACTTCCTTGTTTTCATCCGGACGCCGTCTTTTGGTAAACAAAAAGAAAGTGGAATAGTATACAATAATTTACTAGTTTACGAAAGAATATCTCTAAAATTTATATTTTTTGTATTAAAATAAATAGCAGCAACAAACACTTAATTGTAAAGCATTATTTTGAAAACATTAACGTACAAACTGTGTAAAAATGTACGAAGAATCTTATCATATGTGCAGTGTGTACCAAAAAATAAAAATAAAAAGGGTTCGTAAATTTTTAACTTAAATTATTAAATAAAAACGGTAAACATATAGCAGCATCCTTAAATTTTCGACCCTCTAAAAAAATATTTTAGGGAAACTGTAACACTCAAAAATTATGTAGAAATGGTCGCGGTGCGAACGATATTACGAGGGGTTCAAATAAAAAGATACGACGTTTTCGTTGGTAAAATGATGTACACCCTCATAAATTTTACGCTTTATTTTGGTTCACAAGGCAGCGGCAAAAATTAACAGTTGCATAATTTTTTAGCTGGAATACAGAATCCTTAAAATTACTTTTTAATTAATAATTAAGTTTTTGTTATTTGTATTGCTGTGATGTGATCTATTTCTTGTAAATTTTGATTAAACAGAAATTTAGATTAAACTAATTAAGCCATCAAAGTAACTAGTTCATAACCATGGTGTGTATTATATATAACTCTACCATCAGATAATTTACATGGTAAAAGTTCATACACGATGACACATGCAGCTAGGAAAGGCGCGCTTTAATGGAAGCAACTTTGAAATTCATAACGCATTCTGAATATGAAAATGTACAGTTGACGTGCTTCATGGATCAAATGTAAGCTCGACGTAACCAACTGTGAATCTAGAATGCGTAGAATGTACAAAACGTCTTTTGTTGTTTAACGATCTAACAAGCTCCTTATACAACATCACTATTATTTCCGAACGGAAACAAAGAGATGAAAATGTTTAGCGCGCTTAAGAATAAAACATAATATCGAAACGGGAATTCTCATACGTATCCATGTGTATGTATGGGTTCGCAAATGATAAGAGTTTCGAGTCTTATTTTTCAATGGGTTTTAAAAAGATCGTTCATACATACGTAATAAAAATGGGTGAACTAACAACACAAATAATTTAACTTATAGTCGAGGACATCTTATAGGAACGAAATCTCTTCGGTTACCCAAAAAATGTTTTTTATAAATTACTTTCCATATTCTATAACGGTGTGACCCACCCTTGGAATATGCAAAAAAAGCTGAATACGTCCCTGTTCATCTTATGCAATAGAGGCCACATTGAGCAATAACTTCCTTATGCGAAAGCTTCATCCTAAACGCTATCTTCCACTCAATCTTACACACCACTTTAACGTTACGATTTGTTCTTTTTTTTCATCTAAATATCGATTTTTGCTCAAAGCAACGAACTTATTATTTTCCAACGTCGTTATTCTTAAGTATTCGAAGCACAGTTGTTCAAACTTTGTCATATATCTCTCTATATCTCCTTAGCCCCTTTAATCTTGAAAGCGCATAACTCACACCCATAAATATTTATGTGACTGAGCTTTCGGTGGCTGCCAGAGACAAGCTTGAGAACTTTTCTTTTTATTTAGAACTATATCTAATGTACTTACTAGCAAACAGAATAATTCAAACTCACTCTTGTATATAATTGATTTTTTCTACGTATTAAGGAAACCATTTTGGTTCAATTATACTCGAAAAGGATTCGAATTAATATGGATATAGATCTAGGATATGCTAGAGAATTGTAAACTGGAGTAGACATGCATATATACGAAATATTAATTGAAATATTTTATTTTAAAATAATTCGAAATGGCCTGTATTCTGTCGAAACTGCCAGCCGCGGGTCGCGATTTCGATCTTTTTGGATCTCATCAGCGCGTCGCAGGCAGCTCCGACAGAACACAGACCAACTTTTACCTGCTGTCTTAACAGTGGGTTTTAAAAAATACTACAAATAGCGCAGTAACCGCCATCTGTATTTTTATAGTTTATTTTGTTTACTGCTAAAACTTAGTATGTTTAGGATTCACAATTTTTGCAGAATAATTAAAACTTTTTAATGGAATTGTGTAGATAGCGGTGTTTTTCTTTAAATTGGCAGGAGCTGTACCATGAACAGTGCAGTTTCGTTTGCATCATGTTTGCTTCAATCCCGAACTTTTCGGAGTTTTATGTCGAACTAGAAGCGAACAACGAAGGAGTTGAGTGCTTGAGGCTCCTAAATGAGATTATCGCCGACTTCGACGAACTCCTATCAGACGAGGCGTTTTTTTACATCGAGAAAATCAAATCGACTGGCGCTACTTACATGGCAGCTTCAGGTAAACTTACAATATTGATACGTTATTAGCTACTTATGGTTTTCGAAAAGAAAAGCGATAATCCTTTAACGAGATTATCTCCTTCTTTTCGTACTTTATATTGGAAAACAGTTTTAGTGTTGACAATAAAGTTTTCAGTTTCTTTAGGACAGTAGTAAAAGAGTTGTTTGAACGAGTGTAACAATTCAATCCCAATAGCAAATCGATGATTTTATGACAGCATAAAATCGTATTTGTTTCCAAACGGCGATTGTAAACGAGGATAAACTTGAAATATTTCTCTTTAAGTTGTAAACTTTCTCTAAGTCTGGGAACGGGAGAGATAGTAACGAGGTGACATTTCAGCTTCGAGGAGACTTAAGGGTTGAAATGTTGTCTCCAATAACAAACCACTAATGTTATCCACTTTGCTGATATGTGTCGGGGTATGTACGTATGTAATAAATTCCGCAAATATCTCCAGTATTCCTACAACGAAATCCAAGAAAATGTCTGTGGTGTGACAGCTGTGTTTGTTGTTATTATCTATATCCTTCTTAAAAACACTCAACGAATGGCGTCAGCAAATGTTGGTGTTAAAATAGATATTATTGCATCCCCAAAGGGACTAAATCTAGAATTTTTCTTTGAGAATACCAATGAAAATTTTCTTATTTTTCAAATTTATATTGGAATGGGAGTATCGAAATTCCATCGTGAATTTAGAGGCTGATCAAACAGTAACCATTTCTGAAGTTGTTCTTCATTGTCTTCTCTTTTATAAAATTTTCCTTCGACGATAGTCTTAAAGCAGTCATCATGTATAATCAAGTGACTAATCATCTTTCCCTTCCTGTTATTTATAGTTCTTAATAACTGTCTTTCCTTATTCACTATCGGGAGCATTCCCTTCTTTGTTCTTCTTTCTGTCCAACTAATATTTTCCATTCTCTACTTAATCTTTGGTTTAGTGTCCACTTTTCGCACCGATATAATGTTATACTCCAAACATAAGCTTTAATGAGTCGTTTTCTCATATTGGTATTTAATTTGACTTAAAAAAGGCATTCTCCCTTATATATCACAAGAACATCTGTTTGACTATCCAAATATTTGAAACTGTTAACGTCCTCTATTTCGTTGTTTTGTTCTTCAGTGTATATGTTAGATAATATTATTTTTAAAAGTTTTAGTGTTGAAAGATGCTTTTGTATATTTACTCCTGATGGTTTTTTTCTAGGATTAACTCAGCAAACGTGTGATATGAAAGATTTCAAGCATGTTACGGCGATGGCAGATTACGCTCTTCGAATTCGGGAACAATTGAATGTCGTTAACGAGCATTCTTTCAATAATTTTCGTATACGTATAGGCATTAATATTGGACCGGTCGTGGCAGGTGTGATTGGGGCTAGAAAGCCCCAGTACGATATATGGGGTAATGCCGTAAATGTTGCCAGTCGAATGGATAGTACAGGGATATTGGATAAAATACAGGTAAGTTTGAAATTTACTTTTATTTAATCATCCATTTTCTTAGATACAGGGTACATTTATAATCCATCGAAAAAGTCAATTAGTTTGTGTGTCATGAGACTGTGACATTTTATGAATTATTTTCCTGTCGGGTTCTTGTTCTTACAAATCTAGTATTGTAGGTGTCAAAAATGGGGTAACAAAAATCAGCGTATTATTTATATATTTATTATCGAAGTTATTAATGAATGAAAGAGCCTAGTGTAAAGAACATTTCATACGAAAAACCGTTGTATACTTATAAAGAATAACGAAGTGTTAACCAAGAAAATGACAACAAATAAATCCGACCTGAATAATGTTTCTAAAAAGGTGTATCCAAAAAGTCGCCCAAAAACTGCCATTAAAGAAAATACCAAAACGGGAAAACTTCGTAAAACAAATGCTACAAGGACTGTATCAAACACGAGTCTTCAAGATGGCATGTCATCAGACTCTGACAATTCCAGTTTGGATAGCATCGACGTAGAAAAGGTTGTAAAAAATGAGTCTGATGGTGAGAAATCTTCGCATGGCTATTTTGAAAACCAGAAAGCACTGTTTCAAATACAAAAATTAAAATTTGAAAAGTTAAAGAGTCAAATAGAAAACCACAACTTGTATTTACAATTACAAACATCAGGTAAAGTGAATACACCATTTCAAAATGAATCTGTGGATGATAGTAACGAAATTGATTGTGTTTTTCCTCGTTTTACAAGCAGAGAATTGCGGAAAGACAAATATTTTGGTAATGCTAAAGATACAGAAAGTTGTTTGCAAGACGACAGTTTTGAAGAATTTTCGCATAAATCGCAACAATCGACCCCTTGCTTTGTTTATTCGGACGATATTTACTATAACAGCAGTGATGAGGAAGATTGTAAAAATACAGCGGCATGGCCCATTAGAGACAGCTTATTTCCAGGGGTACCACCTTTTATTGTGTTCAATGCACATGACGCTGCAAGACCATTCAAGTTGCCCAAAGGTAGACAATATCTATTATGGAAATTAACACCGATCACGCCGCATTTGCTTAGAAAAATCCTCCTTAATACGGGATTCACATTGATTGATTCCGTAGAGTTACAAGACGAAGATACGTGGCTGGGAACATGGGGCAATAACATGCGATCGGACCGCTTTCAAGTTCTGAAAAACTACCAGAAATTTAACCATTTCCCCAGTACTTCGCACCTGGGTAGGAAAGACCGATTTTGGAGGAACACGAAAAAGCTCATGTTCAAATTTGGAGAAAAGGAATTCAATTTTATACCTCGCACCTATATCTTATTGCAAGAGCTAGAATTGTTGAAAAAAGATTGGTATGATGACAAGGGTTGTGAGGAAAAGAAGTGGATAATTAAACCTCCCTGTTCAGCCAGGGGCATTGGGGTCAAAGTCATAGATAAATGGACGAATTTGCGCAAAAAACCACACCTGGTCGTACAAAGATACATATCAAAACCTTATTTAATAAATGGTAACAAGTTCGACTTGAGGCTTTATGTATTGGTGACATCTTTCGACCCTTTAAGATTCTACCTCTACAGGGACGGGCTCACCAGATTTGCTGTGATAAAATACAAAGACGACTCGCACTCATTACACGAACGGCACATGCATCTTACAAACTACAGCGTCAACAAAAAATCGAGATGGTACACCGCCAATGAAAATTCGAACTCATGCTACGGTCACAAATGGACTTTACGCAGATTGTTGGATTATTTGGCTGACGAGGGTGTGAATACGACAAAGTTGTGGCGAAACATCGTCCAGCTAATCATCAAAACAATAATTGTAGGTGAGAAAAGCATCGTCCCGTCGTACCACAGCTGCGTCCAAAGTAACTACAACTGTTACGAACTCTTTGGAATTGACGTACTTCTAGATGAAAAACTGAAGCTGTGGTTGCTGGAAGTCAACATTTCACCAAGTCTTCACGGATCTTCGCCCGTAGACGAAGACGTCAAAGGACCAATGTTGAGATCGATAATGAATCTTGCCCAGTTTCATCTTCCCGACAAAGTAACGATTAAATCCAATTTGGTACACAGCACTTTCGACTCCAGATTGTACACCAAGGAATTGTCAAGGAAATGCAAAAACAAACAGCTAAAGTATAACGGACCAAGTCAACAGAGGGAAGATTATTTGAATGGAATACTTCAAGATTTAACAGGTGACGATGTCAGACATCTCACTCGTGCAGAAGATGAGTTGAAAGTTCGTGGAAAATTCGAAAGAATCTTTCCTACTTCGGAAACATATACATTTCTGAAATTTATCGAATCCAAGTACTACAATCGACTATTCGATGCTTGGGAAGTCATGTACGGATGCTGTAGGGAAGCAGGCGTAAAGTACCTTAGCGCATTGTGCACTGATCATTATCTTTTGAGAGATATTAATAACGCCTCTTCTAGTAAAGGGCAAATGTCAGATTAGAGGAAACAAAAATAATTGTGCTATTGCTATGTGAAGTCTCATATTTAATAGAGAGTGTATATTTGACGAATTTTACAATAAAAATTCACACACGAAATTTGTCCTTTTACAGTATTTGTTTTCGTAATTGAAGGTTACCAAGGAAGTGTATCAAATTCTTAAAACCAAAGGCTATCCTTTGACGTGTAGAGGGACCATAGACGTGAAAGGGAAGGGAAATATGGAAACTTATTTGCTGGAAGGTCCCAGGGATGTCGATGTCAAACCCGAACCCAATGTAATTGTCAATCCTCTTTGTGATACTAATTAATTAATTATCTAAAACTATTATTATTAATTAACGTATTGTAGTGAAACCGTCTACTCTCAACCTTAACGTACAAATTATTTTAAGAGAGTATATACAAGGCAAACTATCTTTTGTGTCATCTAAAAATCGAATCAGTGTTTGTACTTGTATGTGATAACAACTTTGCGTTTTTCCGTACAAATAGTTTATTTATAAATAAATGATATGTTTTATTGTTTTTAATATCTGTGTTTCGTACCTTCAAACCCTATTTGTTCAACAATCATCTTTATAATGTAGGTAAGTACGAAGTAGAGAATTGAAAAATGTTTCATTAAAAATTAGTAATTTACAGCAATAATCTGCTAATTTTGTTCATGATATGTATATCTAAATATCTAAAGTTATAAAATATATTTATTTTTGAGATCTATTTCTTTAATATGTAATTTATATTGTTTAAATGGATTGTATAAATGGGTAGTCAAAATTACAAA